ACGAATTGTGGCACAGACCCATCGAATACTTTTCAAATTTGAAACCGTCTGATTTGCTGTCTTTTCCGCCAACCTATGATTTTCACTTCCACGAATTGGCATTAAATGATAGAAATCAAAATCAAGAAATGAAAACTCAGACTACTCAAACCGAGACAAGAGATGATTCGAAAGATGGCAGTGCACTGATCAAACTTTTAGAGAAAAAAGAATACAGTTTTGTAACACTTCGAACACCGAGCAAGGAATTCGTTGTTGACAAAGCTGTTCTGTGCTCTAAGTCACCTGTTTTTCACGCCATGTTCGAAGGTCAGATGAAGGAAAACGATTGGACTTCAATTGACATTGATGATATTGATAACAATACTATGGCTTTACTTATTCAGTTCTTGTATTTTAAACCTTTGGAATATCTTAATTGGGATGATGCGGTCACACTCTATTATGCCGCTGACAAATATCAGATTGATTCGTTAAAAAAAGAATGTGTCGTGCATTTGAAGAAAGAATTATCCGTCGAAAATGTCTGTGACGCTTTCTTTCTGGCTGATTTGCATCTGGACAAGGATCTTATGACTTGCGCGCAGGAATACTTCAGCAAAAACTTGAAATTAGTTTTTACTTCGAAGCATTGGAAAGATTTTTTGTGCCATACTGATTTAGTTGCTCAAATTCTACATGATTTGGGGGAAAATATGTGAAGTATTATCTTTTAATAATTTATGCTGGTAAGTTTTAAACAGCTCTTGTCTTGCATTAGATTAATAACTTTATTTTAGAGTGAGAAATAAAGTAGAGGTCCTAAACATTTATTGCCTGAAGGTGGCAACAGTAATTTATCATAAGTCTATGTGTCGGACATGTTCTCGAATATGGATGGTTGATCGTGAAATCTAAGCAAAGATGGGGCTAGATGCTAAAATTCGTTGTAAGACGTTTGGTTTTATATTTCCAAATGATTTTTAAGCCAAAGCTTAAGAAAGGGTGCCATCAAATTTTATTATACTTATAGTGTTTATAATATAACACGTTCTTTCAATTTAAATTGAAACGAAACAAATATTATAGGAATTTGGACCAATCGGCAAGCATGCTATGCCCTGCAAGATGCACCCCAAAAAAATAACAAACGGTGATATTTCGCACCGGTGTAGCCAAATAAGAGATAACACTCAAAACATGGTAAACCTTGCACTTTATTTATGTCGTGATATTAATTTTCTGAAATTTGTTTTAGGCTCACAACTAGTTTGAATTTATGAATTACGGGAAACTCTTATGAATTACAATAAACTTTAAATGGTTGAAAAGACACAGTTTAATTGTGGTCAATAAAGGTGGAATAAAATCACTAAATGGGACACTAAATGTACTTTCTCTGATTAAATCTAATTTTTCTTCGGCATTTTTTAGTCTTTGCTCTTATAATAAGGAGGTAACCGCAATTTTGAAATTGTAGCCAGAATTTAAAAGAAATCAGCTGAAATGTATATGAATTAGATTGAATAGTTGCTAAGAAAAAAAAACTTTAAAAAAAATTATCTTTTATTTAGATGGAATTATTATTATTTATTATATTTTATCATACATAATAATTTTTTTTTAAAAATTTAGAGAATACATTATTTAAAATGATGTAAAACTTTGTAAACCTTAAACTTCCAGAAATGTTTAATGTTTACTAAATTAAGTAATGGAAAATGTAAATTTATTTTTAAAAGAATATTTTTTATTAAAGTCTTAAGGTGAAGGAGATACACAAATGGATGAAGGAGATACATAATGAAATTTATCAGTTTAGTTAAATTTCGTTTCCAATTAAGGGAAAGTCCCTTTAATCGATTCCAAAGGAAAGGGGGATGCCACGTTGTGATGCGTTGGCTGCCCCTCCTCCTCCTTCCTAAACCTTTGTTTGAATAAAATATTGATAATATCATTAGTGAAAAAAAAAATTTACAAAATTTTTTTTTTATGAATAGAAATTTTCTTTTTATTAATAATAAGCTTTATTATTGTCAATAAGATGGTATTGGTATCGTTATAGGAATCAAATAAAGAAACATTCCTTCTAAAACTTTCTTGTTTTCGTTGAGAATAAAGAGAAACAAGTAATTGGTTTGAAACTTTGAACACCGCTCTCTTTCTGCAGCATTTTTAATTGTTTGATCTTTTAATTGTTTGTATTGATCTTCGGGAGTTTCAATTAGAGCGGTTCTCTCTTCTCCGTAGATAATTGTACACCGTCCGTAGATTATTAAGCATAATTTAAACTTCCGTAGATAATTGTACGCCACCCGTAAATTATTAAGCATAATTTAAAATCCAACAAAAACTAACTTTAAGAAAACAAAATTTAATTTTAAGAAAACAAAATTTAACTTTTAACAAAACAAATTTTAACTTAAAATAAAACAAAATTTAACTTAAAATAAGGAATAATGAAGCTGCGTATTATGGTCTTATGGGCAGGTTAGTAATAATGAAGATTTTATCTTATTAATAATAATAAGCTTTATTATCGTCAGTAAGATAAGAAAAATTGGTATCATTTCAGGAATCAAATCGAAAAATATTCCTTCTGAAACTTTCCTGTTTTCATTTTGATTAAACAAAAACAAGTAATTTTTTGAAAAATTAAAACACCGCTCTCTTTCTGCGCTATTTCTGGCAGTTCTTCGTTGGTATTGTTCTTCTGGAGTTTCATTAGAGCGGTTCTATCTTCTCCGTAAATAATTGTAGAGATAGATAATAATAATATTAATTATAGAAAAGTCAAATAGAGAAATATTCCTTCTAAAACTTAGGTTTTCGTTTAAGATGAACGGAAAGAAATAATTGATTGCATAATTAGAACGCTGCTATCCTTTTACACAATTTCTGACTCTTCTCTGACTAAACTTAAAACAAAATTTATTTTAAAATATGAAATAATAAAACAGAGTTTAACTGTTTCTATTGATACTTATGCCGAAGCATGAAAAAAATTTAAGTTGATTTCATAACCATGTACTTATAAGCGTTTTACATAATATAGATTATTCAATATTTTTAATTTTATGATTTTGTTTTCGTTCATTCTATACATTTTTAGGTGTTATTGCCTTGCAGTACACTTAAATTGAGATTTTTCAAACTTTGTTTTCTGGTTTCATATTTTTTTAAAAGTAATTTGAGGATGGCTTTGGCAAAAATTGTGAGCAGATCTTTATAATTTTTGTGTAATTTTTATAATCTTTATAATAAAAATTTAAGATAATAGCATTTTAAAAATATTCAAAAATGTATTAGGGATTTATTTGTCTTCCCTTAATATTTTAAAAAGGTTTGAATGATAAAAATTACTTTACATACTGGTATTATCTTTTTATCTTTCAATATTTCATTGATATCATAAGGCAATCAATAATGTGCAATTCAATTCCGTGTTATTTCATAATGGCACGTATTCTTTATCAACAGAAAGATAAGCAATAGCGAAATCGATACCAAGAGAATAAGTTAAAAACGTATGTCTGTAACAATCATTTATTTATTTTTCGTATTAAAATAATTTTTGTAGTTATTATTTTCATCCAAAATGTTTAATTGAAACATGCTGTAGCATCTTTCAATTAAACAATTCGTTTAGTCAATAAACTATATTCACTTCAATATATTTAATAAATTATGGCTTATTAAATAAATAATGTCAAGAAACTGAAACTGTGAGATATCACTTGATTAAAAAGCTTTATTTACTTCAAAAAATATACCGCTTAATTTACACTAATCCGAGCTGCTATGACGTTATATGAGGACTGCAAGACTTCCGGTTTGATTTGATTTTTTTGTTTTTTTAGGATATTGGGTGAATACTAAAAACAAATTAATGAAAAATATATTCTTTTTGCACCTTTTAATTTATATATTTTTTTAAACAAAAACAACGAAAAAAAACGCTGTGTCATGACAGCTAGAGCAGCAGTGACTATATTTAGATATTAGCTAATAAATCAACGTATCGTGTTTATATGTATCTTTCTAAAATTATAATTTAGTTTTTTGGAAATTATAATCAGTCATTTTGCTAAGCGTCTAGCTAATTCGAAATATTTTCTTTTGAAACTGATATTTTTCGTTTAGTACATTTATCCCATATACTTTGGGGCTAACTACTCACACAATCGACGATTTACTCAATCAGTTTAAATTTGCTAAGGATTATTGTAGTGAAGCATTATGTTTTTGTTATAAATAAAGAAGTATATCGAATGAGACTACTAGAGCAGCGAATGTTACATTAGTTAATTAGCGTAAAAGTAAATAGGTTTATCGTAAACGGCCTGAAATAAATCAGGTTAGTTGAACAATGATTGATATACATCTTAATTGCCTTCTAAGTATCAGGGCTTATTTTATTTTATTTTATTTTATAACCGTCGTTGAACAGCTGACCCAATTTTGGATTTACGACTACTAATGTTCAACTCTGTAGCATTGTAATTTTGAACCCTATCCAGAAGACAAGGTAACTCCTGGTTCAATGATTGAGGTATTGCCCTTCGCATAGGACTTATTGATGGAATTGACCCCCATTTGCATTACTTGCATAGAATCACGAAAACCTTCCACGGTTCGCCTGATGGTAAGGGGACTCTAACCCATGATCCGTCTACCACTGAGGATATTTTGCGTCAGCAATGTGATGGGTGTGAGCCAGGTGCGAAATTCGTATCGACCAGATTCGATCCCGGTTCATCTCATTCGAAGACGAACGCTCTATCTTCTGATCCACCCCGCATTATCAGGGCTCATTGTAGTAATCCTCATAGGTATTAGACATGTGACAAAATGTACACAGATTTTTCCAATTGTGGATTGCAAAATGACAGCGAGACTTCGCTAAGCCAGATTTTTCAATTAACCTCAGACATATGCATTTATTCCATTGTTATTCTTCTAAATATTTAAATTTGTTATTCTTCCAAAACTTTTATTTATGATTTTTTTTTCCCTTTCAGATGCTTGGGATGACAAGGGATTATTGAGAAATGCCTACAAGCAAAAATGAAATCTTTAAAGCCATGAATTTTGTGAACTATATTGAAAATATCTTAAATGGTTTTGATTTCCAAGTTTGAGAAAGCTATATGTATTCTAGAGAAAATATGTGTTTATTCAATTCTTTTCCCTCTCTGTCTTTATTATCGAATAATAATATTCTATTTAATTCTGAACATCTGAATATTCTTATTTTTCTCTTTTTCTGTTGTATTCGAACTGTTAGCTCTATTCGGTGTCCGGTAAGGTTAATTAATTTATCACATTGCTTTATTTAAGGGTTTAAAAAATTTAAATGTTATAAATCACAACTCTAGCTACAAAGAAAACTTAACTAATTTTGAAAAACGTTTAAAAATTAATATAAATGCTATAATTGATGTGAAATTTCAAAATAAGCTTTCTCTTGTAAATTATATAAATGTTTGAGCTGAAAAATATATTTAAGTGAATTGAACTATAATACAGGGTGTTCCAAAATTCTCTTTACAACTTCAAAAATTCATAACTTCGAAAATAAACAAGATATTTATATTGCGTGTATTACTGCAACTAATAAAGTTTTATTTAGTACACTTCAACATGCGCAGCATTGGTGGCCCTAAGCACTTCCAGTCTGTAATCAATTACAAGCCAGGTGATGTAAAGGTAATTTTGGAACACCCTGTATATTTTAAATGAAATTATACTGATTCCTTATAAATATGAATCATTATAAATATTTGAACTGAAAAATATATTAATTTTCTTTTTAAATATGTCACTGAAATTATGTTTGATTGTCTGGCATATAATACACGGTATAATATTTTTTTTCTAAGTAAATATACTTTTAATTTTATACATTTTTATCAATTTTTCCTGAGATAATATTTAAGAGCCAGTTATTTCAAAAACCGATCAAGTCAGGCATGATGGGATATTCAACGTTTTATATTATGTTGAAATTTGCAGGATATGTTCTTTATGTAAAATCATCAGATATGTAGTTTGTGTTATTTTTGTGGTAGAGCGTTTCTAGGTCTTGAGTGGTCGCAAAACTGAAGATCCTTCTCTTTAAAGAAAAAATCTATTTTTATACGGCAAAACTTCCTTTGTAAAATGAGTGAACCATGGCACTGATATTGTTCTGTCATCTACTACTTCCTTACTAACTATATAGATATAAATACATTCTTTGAGGCGAGGCGGTCAAAGGTCATTCAAAAATGTTCGAAATGGGGCTGTTTTCTCAGACTTTGACAGTCGAAATCTACTTTTGCTAACAGTGAGCCACAAATGTATGTATTTCTGCGAATACATACTGATGAGTTGTATTAAAAAAATCAACGTATGTGTGATGTACAGTGAAGAAAACGGACCACCCTGACTGACTTTTGATCTAATGATCGGATCTTCACTTTCGTTGACCCAAACTTAATGATTTGAGGGGATGACTCAAATATGCTACTTAATAAGTGCAGACGATATTTTAAGTTACGAAATCAGACACAAAAACGTACTTTCTCTGAATAAACATACCTTTTTTTTCGACGGATGCGGATTGCTAACCCTCAGAATATAGGGGGAAGCCGCAATCGTTTGGTCAAGAGAACGCTCCAAAGTCTTAACCCCTTAATGTTCATTTTACTTTTTACGTATCTCGCTACATTTCGAGAACTTTTTAAGCAAATTGAAAAAGTTTTGCACTCCACTATGAAGTTCGTTTATCCAAAGATGATTCGATGCAAACAACACTTTTAGTAAATGTTTATTATATTTTATTTAATAACAGTCGAAGCAAATTTTGAAATTTAAGATATAATCGTTTGCATCATTTTGAATTTTTTATAATTTTACATGTCAAAATACGAAATTTGAGAAAAATTGGAAATCTGAGAAATCGAATTTTAAATATCTGACTTTTTAAAATTCAATTTCTCAGGAACTATTCGACCGATTTTACTCAAATTTTGTATTTTGCAATGAAAAATTACATTCTTTAAAATGTTGCAGAGAGTGTACAATTTACCATTTTAAATTATTTCGACCATTTTTAAATAAAAGAATAAAAAGTATTATATATTCACTGAAATTTATTTTTTGCATAAAATTATCTTTGGATAAACGAATTTTATAATTGGGTGCAAAAAACTTTCAATTCGTATAAAAAATATCTTGAGATATAGCGAAATGCAAAAAAAGTAAAATTATTATTAAAGGATCTAAACTTTGGAGAGTTCTCCTGGCTAAACTATTGGAATCATATTTCTCAGATTACGACTACCCCCTATATTTTGGGGGTGAGAAACAAAAATTCGTCGAAAAAGAAAGTATGTTTATTCAGAGAAGGTACGTTTTTGTGTCTGATTTTGGAACTTAAAATATCGTCTGCACTTATTAGTTAGCATATTTGAGGTCACCCTCTCGAGCCATTAAGATTGAGTCTTAGAACATAAAAATCAGATCATTAGATCGAAAGTTATTCGGGGTGGTCAGCTTTTTTTGAGCACTGTATATTTAACATAGCCTTAAAATTGACCTTAAAGTAACTAGAAACAGAAAATTTGCACATCTTTCAAAACTGGACGAGTATGAAATTCGCTGGAAAAGAAGCCTAAAGGATAGCAGAAACCTGAAACCAATTTACAAATGAATGGTTACTGATTCAACTTTCATGACTGTAAACTTTAAGGTCTGTACCTGAGTAATTGAATGCAGAAATAGCTATTGGAAAGCTGTAAATTGTTTTTTTTTTCTAATGTGATTGTTTTTTAAAAAATTCAGCCCTATATAAATATCTGATGCGAGATGAGCACTAGAATAGGGAACAGAGGGATAAAACATACTCTTAGCAATCTAGGCAAATGACATAGTGTTACCGGTGTTTTTTTACGCAAAATAGAATAAAATCATACCCAAGTTGATGTATCTAATAGTAAAGAATTTATGTTTTAGATAGAAAGAGCGAATTCTGACACATACATATTTATGCGTCTGATATTGCTATCCAGACAAACGAGACATTAATCCCAATGTATTTTTTAAGCAATCGATAGGAACACTTTAATTCACATGCAGTTTAAAAGTTGTAAAATTATGTAGGTAAGAGCATAAAAAGTACCTAATTATATTTTTACAGGCAAATCTTTTTTACTTTTATTTTTAATTTTAAACTGTTAAAAAGGAAATTCCGCCCTTTTACATTAGTCTCCGAATGCTCCCCATACGTAAGATTTGAAGCAACTGCCCATCCCCGCGTTTATTTTAGATGCTGCATATCTTTACATTATGTCGGCTTTATTTACATAACAAAAACAGAATTACAAGCACGCTGTTTAAATGGTGTTTTCTGGTGTAGCTCACCTTCGAACTAAAAACATGGACATGGAATGCGAATTTGAAGAAATGCATTGATTAGAATTATGAAATGAATCGTGTAATTTTACAATCATTGGGTCTGGGTCATTCGATAAAAAAGTAATTTCACTGGTTTTTATCCTACATGATGGTTGTCAAATTGCACTAGTTCCAAAAGAAACTAGATATTCTTTTCCCTATTTCAAAACTATAAATTATATTTATATTTTAACAATGCAATTTAGTTAAAAGAATTTAAATGAATAATCAATAAAAGTTCAATAATATTTTTTTAAACATTAATAATAATAACAATCTGCATTCTTTATTGCTGAATTCATCGAAATCAACAATCTACAAAAAATTTTCTGCTCACAGATCCGCAGTTTTACATAGAGCAATGCATCTTGAATCGCATGCCAGAGCTTTAAAGAGATAGTCTACGTTCATTGTAAATCTTTGTTTTGATTTTGTGGTCAAAGTTGAAATGTTATTCTACTACGTTAGCGTTCCTAACTTACGGATTTTTTTCAAAAACTCCTATTTTTACTTACGTAAGTTTGATTTTTTATCACAGGAACATGCACAATTACTTATTTACGGAAGCTAACTTAAATTAGCAAAATCTCCCTAATGAGATGCTGTTACTTATACCCGCTATACTCCTTTGTCAGCAAAAATTAGGAAATTCCCCGCCTTTAGGTTGAATGATCCCATATTTGAATGACTATAATTACCTTAACGAAATTTAAGCTCAGACCAAATTGAATTCTTCATGATTATAGCTAAAAAATAATTAAGGAAAGGTTTAAACCCTTAACACTTTGATGAACAATTTTTAAGAAGCACATTTTTCATCGTTTTTTTTATTATTTTGTATTAATGTAGGTCAATATAAGTGATAAATATTATATTTAGCATTTTAATAATTTATGGTAATGAAATGCAGCGTGAAACATTTGTGTCTTTTTCTGCATCAAATGTTAAATCTGTCAAACACGGCTCAATTCCAAACAATATTTCTTTTCAAATTTGTACTTAGTTTCAATTATTTCGATCTTAAAAATGGTTTGAATATGAACGGGAAAAAATTCCAACTTCTTTTTTTTGAATTTTTGTATAATTATTATTACAATAGTCAAAGATTTTTTTTAGTATCTATTAGACAGTATGTTTTCTTAATTTTAATTTATTTTATTCCATAATATTTCCAGTGAATTTCGTGATAATATTTCCAGTGATTTTCGTTGTTACAAGTTTCAAAGTTTTATAGTTTCCGCGTAGCAAAACAATATCATAAAGTTGTACACACAAAACAGTGGCAGCTTCTCATAGGATTTTTTTTTTTTTTTATCTCGCTGAAAATAATGAAATAAAACGCTTAGTAAATAAAAGTTTAGTCACAACATGAAGGCATCGCTAATACTTTACTTAAAAAGAGTTAAGTGTTCAAAAATTATTAAGAGTTCAAAAATTGAGATAGAATTGATTGTACCAGAGACACTTAATTAAGAACTTAAACTTTATGATTAATTATTAAACCTCTTCATCAAAATCTCAAAAAAAAAATATATATATATCTGAATACAAATTGTAGTTAAAAACATGCGTAAGTCTCAATAATTAGAATAGTTTTAGAATTTTTTATCGAAACATTTATTAGATATTTATGAGTAAACTTTTATTTTAAATAGATTTGCTATGTCGACTCGGGGCATTCTGAACATAGGAATCAAATATTGTTCCAATAGCTGCATTTTTAATTCTTATTCCCCAAACAGTTGATAGATGGCGACATCATTGCTAAGCAATGATTTCCTTTAAAAACAAATTTTAA